GTTTGTGCACGACCCATTGCGGACTCCCCAAATGCTTGCTTTAGCATTTCATAGGTTTCCGTAGCCGTTTTGGCGAGTCTTTGGCAAAATTTGATTTGTTCATGAAAATCCGCCATTCCGAAATCGCAGGAGGGTCGGTGTAATGCACTACCAAAACGCCCGTAACTAAGAAACAAATTCTAATTCGATGATGCTGGCTGGCACACTGATTCACTATGAATGTAGGCCGCACCCCTTAGCGGCAGAAGCTCGTACTACATCCGGTTCGCCCTCTATTGACACAGTCTTGAAACTTTCCGATCGCACCTCGTACCATATAGTGAAGGAATACCATTGGTTGTGTATCTGTCATATTTGCTTAGAATATAAGTATTTTATAGCTGATAAAGTTAGAGACAAATATCCCATCTTCCTACTAGGATATTCTATTTTCTAAATTATTTTTGATGCATTGAGCAATCCACCAGTGACATGCATATTCATTCGTCTTCTTATCAAGCATTCTTTATGTGTGGTGACTTCATCCTTTACACTTCGCGTTCTGTTTCACTTTTATGGTGTTGAACTTGGTAATAAATCCAATGCTTATACATCATTTATCTGCATGCAATAAGAGATGTTTAGTCACCAAAGTCATATCTCCCGCCTTGGTCTTGCTTTATTCTCTACCGAACGACAGCAAGCAGAAAGGCACCACTTATTACGCATCTCACTATTGACAGTGGTACAGTCCATGAAAAATATTTCAGATGGTCAGTATTCAAACAAAAGGAACTATGATCCTCTCAGAACATATTTCGCCATATTTAGCAAAGTTTCGTCTGTTTTATGCAAGTTATAAAATAAAATCAAACCAGTTCATAATAGTAGTTTAATTTATACAGCTTAGTGGTAATTAAATAGATCAACTGAGAGCTGTAGTGGTATTTAAAGGAGACCACAAAGGGTTAAGAAAGAAATTTATAAGGTTGTGAATTGCTGTGCTGTATGTAATATTTGTTATGTTTTAAAAGCAACCAGTTGAAACGTAAGTTTATAAGATGTATTTCTGAAATTTAGTTATGCATGTTTACAGGCGATCTGTATTAACTGCATAAAGCTGGATTATTTAATTATTTATCCCACTATTGATATGGGAGAAGAATTTCTAAGTATTTAAGTTTTACCCAAACAAGAACAAAAATTACATGAAAATTCAATTTTATTAACTATCAGGTACATTGTATACAATACACATAAGCATGTACAGTATATATGCTGTGTCTAATGTTTACTAAAATTGAATTCTTAATATTTTATGCAGGAGAATTGTCTTCTTAAAGAAAACAGAAGAACAAAAATTAACATTCTTGTTTAACATTCTTTGCACTCTTTTTCTTCTGAGTTTCACTAATTTCTGTAATGGTTTACCTTTGTCCATTATAATTGTCCCTGAAAAATTAGTGTCAGTGATGCAAGCACTCACACCACCACTGTTACTAATGTATAAGTTACATAAATTTACCAAATGATCCATTGGAAATGAATGGGAACTGATGCCATTAGAAAAGAAGTGTAGGCATGAAACTGCCTGACTTAGAACCTCCAGTGTCAGGTATTAAGATATTTTGATATGGATATCACTGTCACTGTTCTGACTTGTATGTATGTATTTGACAAGGGAAACACTCGGCAGTGAATAATATTAAGAAATTCAGGTGATGAAAGACAGGTAGTTGTTACTGGGGATGCCATTTGATAGAAATTTCATCGTTGATATTGTGTACCTTCATAATGAATTGTTAATAAAACAGATTACACATGAGAAATCAAGTTATGTAAAATAGGGTTCATATCAATAATAGTGTCTTCCATTTTGTGTTACTCTGATCTAGAAAGTGATAAAATAAATTAAAATTGTAACAGAAAGATTAAATTGTCATATATATTTGAATTGATAATGGAAAGAAAATTTAAATATCTAATACAGAAGTGTCTACATTTATTTATTTTCCTCCAACAGAGAAGCTCTCCAGTTACAAGAGGCCTATACAATGCATACAAAACACGAATGCTCTACAAACATGGAAAAATAAAATGAATTACAATCTTCTTAATATGATACATGTAAAATAATGTTAAAGAAGGAAAAATTACAAAATTACAAAAATTAATAATTGCCTGAAACATCATTTATCCAGTGTACAAGTTTTCGGACATAAAAAAGTAACTTTAAATATTGAACAAGTGGCAGATTTAAATCAAGTTCTGGATATGTCACTGCAACAGTGTTATATGCATTATACATATATTATAAGCAGTGGCATGCTCTGTGCTGTTTTTTTGGATAATATAAGAGATGAGATGTCAGGTATATAGGTTGCTTTAACTGGTAGTAACATCTAATTCAAGAAATGCGCTATTGTCTAAAACACCAATTACAGTTTTATAAAGAAATGCCTGTTCACTGATTTCATGCTTACTAGCCATAGCTACATTATTAGATTCTTGCAATAATTAGATATATGATACTTTATTTTCATAGGCAGATATATGATATTTCTTCTGATAGATATAGTTGATTCTAAACATAATTAGAAGAGCATATATATATAAAATTTAGATGTTCTGAGTGTCTTGTTACAGAGCCCAACCTCTTATATGTGTCATTAACTGTTCCTTCTGTGGTATATGTGTTATTGTTGTTGTTGTAATTATCACTTTTATTTTATTACTGTTAATTAATATTCCTGTGTTTTACTTCACATGGGCAATTTTGTTTTAAAACCCTCCCTCATGTGAAGGAAAGGAAGTATATAATGTTTTGTCTGTGGAGGGCTTTGGTTAATTTGATGATGAACCTTTGGGTTTCGTAAGCCATCTAATTAGTTAGTTAATATTCTTGTAATACATTGTTTCTATCAGATAATGCTTACTCAGGTATTAATCATTTTCCACATACTCTTTTTCTGTAGTGCGCAAAACTCCACAATCCCGTCAAGAAAAGCAATTGGCATTCCTTCTGGCTCGCCAAAAGGAATTCAAAGAAGCAGCATTACAAGCTAAACGTAAAGGAGAAGTGAATCAAGCTAAGGAATATTTAAGGCTTGCGAAAGGTTTTGATCCACTAATTGAGGCTTCAAATTGCGGCTTGCCAGTAGACATGGATACAGTGAGTATTATTAAAAATTTGATGATGTAACTAAATTATTTTTATTGGATTATGTTATTTAGTCTTCATTCCATTTATTGACATGAAATTCAGCACAAATCTGCATAATTTACTTAAAACAATAAATACTTGTGCTTATGATTTTGTGTTTGCAGGTGCATGAGATTTTTCAGTGGTATATAATGTGAATAGTTTGTGAGAGATTGTGAAGTGTATTACAGACTGATTGTTTGGTCTTATAACCATACTTTCCTATATAGTATGCCATGGGAGGGACACTTTTAAAATAGATGTCCTATGTACCAGATTGGTTACAGTTACAAGATGTTAGGTTTTTGCTACATTGTATTTTACTTTCATTGTTCCATGCATGATGGCAGAGTTGTTGAATTTCCCTCATATACTCTTTAAGCACCGCCACGGTGGTCTAGCGGTCAGAACGCTGGCCTTGTAATCATGGGGTCCCGGGTTCGATTGCCGATGGTGCCCGGATTTATAACTTGTGTTGGGCAAGGCCGTGGTCTACGCATCACAGAGTTTTCCTCTGGGTCTTCCCTGGTTTCTTCATGGCATCCTAACAATTACTCCATGCAAACAGAAGAAGGCAACGGCAAACCACTTCTGGATCATTTACGTAGAAAATATATGAACAGGTCCCTATCATTAGGATCCTGTTCATAATGTCACTAGGGGTTGACTCCGACTTGATGATACAAAAAACTCTTTAAGCTGATCAGAATGTCTGATTGCATGATGTATTGTGATTGCTTAGTGCTATAACACCACCTTCAGGGCAGGATGCATAAGTTATATCAGTTATCAAAGTCATAGCTTGAAGAAAGGACTATCTCCATGATATTCTTTCTCTACACTGTTCTTATTATTCAGGAACAAGTTGAAAGTGAAATGAAATCTTTATATGACTGAATTGCTCATAATTTATGATTTCATGATTATTCTTTATATGTCATAATGGGAATATAAGTTCTACTTTATAATGCAATCTTAAATGTCCATAGTATCTCTTAGTGCAGTGAAGTCTCTTATTAGGGTAGCAGATAAGAGTACAAACAAATGGTGAACTTGCCCATACCTAGATCAGCTTTTGTTCCTCTTAAAAACGTAACTTGATTGTTTATTGTTTTTATTCTCTAATACACAAAAAATGTTTTATACAGAAGTTGTGTGTTTGATTTATAGTGTTGCATTGTGGCTTAATTATGTAACATCTCAGTTTTGCATAGTCATCTTTTCACGTTTAAAGTAATGTGAAATTTCTATACATACCAGATGAGTTACTAACAGCTTCTTAAGAAGAACTCTGTTCCATGGAGTCAGTCATGTTATAGTCACGTGCAAAGATTTTAATGAAACTTTGGTGTTTGATATGCTGTGGTAGGTGTAAAATTATAATGTCCTGGAAGCCTCGAGGATCTTAACCGTATAGTACAACATACAAAGTGTGGCAGTTAAATTCTCAGAATCCCCACATGTATGTTGCATTGAGTAGTGAGTGAGCAGTAACTAAGTGGTGACATGTTATGACATGTATGTGGTTATGTCTTGTGTGGTGGTGAAGCAAGTAAGTCAGTAATAGTGAAGCAGTGGCATAGTTGTACAAGCCTGTGTTGTCCCAGGAGTTAAATGAGTGATAGGTTATTGGAGTAATGCATTGTGCAAAGTCAGGAAAAAATGTGAGTGAAACTCTGCAGGTGTTAACAGAAGCTTATAGTGCTGATGCTATGAAAAATTCTAGTGTCTGTGAGTGGCATAAAAGGTTTAAAGTGGATTGGAAACACATGAAAGATGCTGAAAGAATTGGACATTCGGAAATTCAACAGACAGATG